ATCTAAGCTGTGAATTATAAAAATTCTATTTTTTTTTCTTGTGCTCCGCTGGGGAAGCTGAAGAAAGTATAAAAATACACAGAAGAAGAGCGCTCATGGCGAAAGGCACACATGGAAAACAGTCCATAACCCGTACATGTATGATTTGTACAATTGTAAAGTAATAGCGTTGGCAGGGGTGAAGGGCTCTGCAGATTTATTGAATTATTGCAATGGAATACATACTTATTGTTAAACAAATTACTCATTGTTGTGCAACTGTCCTTAACCGGTTAAATACGAAATAAGATCAAATAATGAAATGTATACTTGTAAAATACGATGCACTTAAAACGAAGCGAAGAAGAATTACATTTTTATCTAAGAAAATAAATAGAAGATATCTTCGAAGTAACTTTTATTATTATTGCAATGTTTCCATGACCATAAAAGACTTTTTATTATTCGTGGCGCCAAACCCAGTCATAACAAAATTTATATTAAATATAAAGGGTTAAGAGTCAACGAAGCGCTTTAATGAAAAAATCTTAAAAAATTCGAGAGGTGGAGTTAATTAATTTGGTGACTAAGTGGCTCAATTCTAGGGTGAGAATACATAGAGCATGTTGTAAAAATTAACTATTACATGAAAACATTAATTTAGGCAGTTATTATAAAATTATTAACATCTAAAACCACTAATAGTATGCATACAATATTTCTCATAGACACACGGCCATTGAATTAAAAATATATTAGAAAAGATTGTTAGAATTAATTATTAGAATAATTATTAAAACACATAAAAAAAACATCAACGAATATCTTACAGTAGTAAATATATCTATGTTATTTTATTAATGCTATCATTAACTTTATCTTTCTCTCTCCTACCTTGTTCTTTAATATTATTTGTGTCTGTTTATACAATCCAGTCCTTTCGGCTGTAGACAGAACCCTATGTCCTGGCAATGCTTAATCTGATTATACGCTTTGTCAAAGCTTTAACGCCCGGGAGAGTTGATACCTTCGCAATGCTGGCGAATTACGCGCGACGATCAATTGAATCCTAACCTCGTTCGGGTTGTCTCGAATTGAGTTTTCACGTAATCTAAAAATTCGAGATTGCCTGTTAGTCTATTCTTACTTAATGAAGTTCGTCGTATATTAATAATTTCTATCTTTTGATTATTTTACAATAATAAAATTTCAAAACTTAGAAATACTACAAACTTATATTTGTATTTTAAATGCTTTGAAATACCTGAATTTTAAGATTCATATATTTGCAGAAACATTGAATGAATAAAAATATTCTACCTCTAAAAAGTTTGTTATGACTAATTATGAATGGATCGTAATTAAACCAAAAATTATCATAAATAGTAATGGAGGCGTAACTGATCTCAATTAATAAATGTTATTCCAAGAAGAATTAAGATATTGCAGTATAATATCATAGAAAAATATATTCTGAACATGATAATACATTAAAAAAGAATTTTCATTAACCCCTTGCCTTGTAATTTCTTCTACGCACTTCATCCCTAATAATTCACGATAAAAAAGAAAGAACTCTATCTTAATTCTACATTGACATTTACTTCAAAATGAAACAATTGTCAATAAGAAAACAATATTTCTTCTAACCCTAAATAATCAAATAGTACCTACAATGTTTAATAATAAATATCAAACTTTATAATTTTCCTATGTCAAATCAATTGACAACTGAAAGGTGCCTCTGGAGTGCAAAGGTTTGAGACCAAGATTTAAACAAAGAAATTAAGCCGCATAAAAGAATTAATATAAAGAAATGACCAAACAAGAATCAGATTACTGATTTATTGCTGATCTCGAAGATGACATCAATGGTGACGCTAATTGTTCGATCAGGAACTGTATTGTTGTTTCCAATGGACAATACGTGAACTCATTGTTAACTGAAAATTTTACGTAGAAACTATCCCATATCACTAGTTATTATTCCATAATTAAATATGAAAGTGAAACAATGTAAATAAACTCCAACATACTTTATTAATGCATAACGAACTGAAATGTAACTTTCGACGTATCTTTGATATAACTTTGAATATTTTGCTTCTACAGTATTCTACATTACCCTACTATTCCTACCGCAACCAGTCAAATAATATGTTACAAAATAAAGATAAACAGGTTAAACAATAAATTTTTCTTAGTGAGAACAGAAACAAAAGGAACTACAGAAACTGAATCGAGCATCGATTAATCGGACAATATAAGAAATGGTACAATTAAGAAGTAGTACTTTTAGTATTAAAAAAGAGGAAGAAAATCGGCAGAACGAAATGAAACAATATCCCAACAACAAACCGAAGATGGGATAGAGGGGGTACGAACAACATCGGTAGCCGAGGTTGGTCTTCCGTGCGCGTTATTCGGGCGATGGAGCGACTAATAACGATAACGACGCCAGAAACGATAATCGAGTTAGGGGTTTCCGCGGTTTCCACCCGTTCTCCCAGGGCGCTGATTGCTGGAACGGCGGCGGTTTCGCCGTCGGGATGGCCGGTGCGCGCCGACGCCGAAACGCTGACGCCCACGCCGCGCGGCGCCGCGCCGGCCACCGACTCCCGGACACCGTGCAGCGTATGGACGCGGTACACCCGGCGCGGATGAAGGCGTAACGAGTACACAATGCGATGCAAATTGGGCCTCTCTCTCTGCCGGCTCCACGGACCAGTCAATCGGCCGGTTGCCTACGCCGGTGCATCGCGATGGTATTACTAACATCGCTATTCTATTATGACATTACGGTTCCCCGAGCAGCAGCAGCCTGGCTATTACAAGCCCAGTCTCTCCCTCCAGGCGTTCGATTCGGGATAACTCTATAGCGGTTAACTATATAGCCATCCAGAGACGCCAGAGACAATACCCCCCGATCGGAACGGGCCCCCAGGCCACTGGGTTCCAATTTATTTTCATACGTTTAACCCGTTGCCCTATGATTTCTTTCGAAACTATATGCTGCTCTGTGAGACTACTTTGGTAATTTGAGGAAAAGAAAAATACTGATGGTCGTTTTGTGTCTAAGTTTGATGTAGATGTAGTGTAATGATTGGATCGTGCGTTTGTTGAGAGAGGTAGCAATGTGGAACGAAAAGCAGACAAATTTGATGGAATTTTTATATACTTAAGATGTTGGCAAATTATGTCTTTGGCAACTGCGTGAACATTGAGATTACTTTGTTGATAATGATTTGGTGAGAAAGGAAAAGAAATGCTAGTGGTTGTTTTGTGTCTAAGTTTGATGGACAGTGTAATGAATAGATCAATCATTTGTTGAGAGTGGTAATAGTATAAAACTAAAAGAAGAAGAATTTAATTATATTTTCGTACATTTAACCCGCTCTTCTGTAATTTTTCTTGCAATTACGCGCTCGATGAGACTATTTAGTCGTTTATGAATTTTAGTGGGAAAAAAGTATTGACAGTTGTTAAGTGTTTAAGTTCAATTTACAATGTAATGACTGTATCAGTTATAATAATCATAAAATCAGAATGTTACTATTTAAGAAATCATATCAGAAAAAGAAGATACATGTAGACAAATAAATCAATCAGTCAATTTTAAATATCTTAAAAACCACATTTTCTTAAACTTTTTCAAAGATATACATCTAATGAAGCACTATATCGTAACAATTGTCAATTTCTACATTGCTAAGTAATAATTAATTAATTACCAATGATATTGAATTGCATACAACCTACAATATACGTATATTTTACGTAATTATTAATAACAGCATTAGTAATTAATGACGTTCAATTGTTGGTTAAAGTTCACAATATCGATATTATGCAAAGTATTTGTTTGTAACTACGTGGTGAATATTGACCATAATGATTAATAATAGTATATTTAATTAGGATTAAATTATTCCCTTGCATCGATAGTGTACAACAATTAATAAGAGAAGGAAATTCGATGCATGAAAAATTAAATACATATATTGAAAAGTATATGAAATATGTTACTCACGTGTAATTAAAATATGTTCATCGTAAATTATATTATTCAAAGTACCTTCTTGCATTAGTAATTAACTTAACAATCGTCACAAATTCTATTATAATGGCATATTTAATGAAATATCAAACTGCCCAGAAAAAGAGGAGGGATACGACATCTGCAGTGAAATTTTCAAACTACATACAGTTTTCTAGATGGCGGAATAGTTCAAATTCCTCGTGGAATTCGTCCTTTTATTCAATATTTAAATGTTTTTAGATACTTTTTAAAATAATTTAAAAAATCAGTAATCTCATTATTGCATATCAACAATTTTTTGAAAATTATTAATGCTTCTACATAGTATTAATACTTTAAAGCATGTCTTACTAATAAACGAATATTTTGTTACCTCCAACGAAACTTTTCTATGCCAAATTTGAAATTAAACTGTGAAAAACGTCACTTATCATTTAAGAATGTTTAATTACAAAGTATTATGAGAATATAATTAAAATGACAATTTATTATCAACTCGATTGTATATTGAATGTATTAATTACGAGACAATAATTACAATTGACTGATCGCGTTTTCGTTCGGTCGATAAAGTCACTATCAACACAAATTCCTTCGCCATCTTCACATTTCGTAACGAACCTTCCAAATAACAAACTCTGCCATTAGATAATTCAGTTTTCTATCTACGTATGATTATACGTTTAAAAAATCACAAACAAAAATACTTTCAAATTACCATAATACAATTCTTGACTGTAAAAGCGTAAACTTTTAAATATAACAAATAATCAAACTTAGTAACGTAAAACCTAAATGTTAATAAAAAAATACATTTATTTGTTCAATGTAAGAACCGAGTAAGAATACAAGTGGTGCGCCTGCTTGATTAATTATTATTCAAGAATTGGTCTAGAAACGTCGCTTTCAGGCGCCTTTTTTAGGAAGACAGCCGAAATAATTTTCCATTTGAAGTTGTAATCGGTTGACAGTGGTTGGATGTAGCGCTGTCTTCCTTGCGAAAAATGAAGTGCGGAAAAAGAACGGTCAACAGTGAAATCAGTGAGGTCAGCAATAGGGCAAAGGTCGAATTAAATGATAAAGGGGCTTTCACGGTCGTTTCATTATAGAATTCACAATGCTCGATGAACTCCTTTGACATACTTTGTTTAGCCGGGCTGTGAGCAGTGCATTTCTTGCCTTCAGTGGACAACGTGCGTAGCGTGCTCGGTTTCAGTGACGTTTCAAATCTGCGACTCGAGTTCCTGTGAGATTCGAGTTTCCTTTCGATGCTTGGAATTTCTGTCTAGTCTACCAGCAATAAATTGCGCCGATAAAAGCTGGTTATCAAAGAAGAATGCGTTTCTCATTATAATTTCAGGTAAAAAGTCCATTTTAAATTTATATGTATATAAATGTGTAATATGCAACAGTTTTGAAAGTAATTTTTTGTGTCTACTTCAATTTGTTTGTTACCAATAAGGAATTTTTTAAATGTATAATATGGAATGTTTCAGAAATAAACAAAAAGAAAAGAAATGTTTTTTGCTTGAATAAGCATTTTATTTATATTATTACATTCTTTGCTAATATTTCGTGTTCTTAGCGGTAACAGCGAAAAATTATAAATAATATTAGAATGTTATAAAGTTATAAATATTAACAAAAAATGTTTCATTATTAATTATCATTTAAAACAAGAGTTTATTTATATCTAAATAACAATTTCGTAATACTTTTTATGTTATGTAGGGCTACTTTAACTATGGTATTTATTGAAATACATTACAATAAATTGAAACGTTTGCGCCTAATTAGTAGTTACCGTTTTTATTAATGTGACAGTTGATTGTAAAACAATCGTTTCTGATTTATATCTAACGGTTAGCGGTTCGAATGGAATAGATACCTATATTCGCGACATCATCCGTGCAAGGAATTAAAAAATAATTTAAATTTTCCATTAACTATTTAACGTTATTGAAACCAGTGATATTGCTTTGAATCTTCAACATTTTTATTAACATTATTGGTCTGATGCAAAAGTTTTGACGTTTTTAGTTTTTAAATTGAGTTTAGTAACTCAACTGTTCGTTGACTAAGCCGAAACTAAGTAGAAAGGAAAAAAGAATTGTCCTTTATGTACATTATGATTATGTACAATTTGTTTACTAACACGTATATCAAAATTCTTGCATCAGCCCAATACTTCAGGGAAAATGAAATACACATGGAATGCTTTTTTTATCATTTAATTAAAATTTTAAAATTAATTTGACAATTTTAATACAAAGTAACACTATATCATGAACTTATATGTAATAAATTAATATTTATAATATATTTATTAAATCGATAAAGCAATTATTAAGTTAACAGATCAATAACTGAATTAAATAAATCGACTTTTTCTTGGCTTGTTATAAAGAAGTTGTTATTAATTTTTTTCTATTTCTGTGGCTTATACAATACACAAATTTAAATTTATTAAGAAATACGATATGTATTCGTCGTATGAACACAAAGTGTATGCAAATTTTTTTTGAGTAGTAAATGTGTTTAACAATGAATTTCTTACATTTCTATTAGATAATCAATTTTCTTATGACATTATTGTTTTTTTATAATTGTAAAGCGGTTATTTCCTATAAGTTACAACAATTTTTTTCCATAAACTGTAACGAGTGAAAAGTTTACTAAGGGGCTGCATCATTTGCAAAATACACAGAGAACTGGTTTGCAAAGTGGGAAATTACGTAAACGCCATTTAAGTCAAATGTATGCATTCTTATTCCGTTTCAAATTGCACAAGGGAAGTCAAATATATTCTTATTATCAGCAATGGATAGTAAGATGGATAGAATTTATGATAACATACTATAACAGTGTGCAATTCCTTTTTCAATAAATTAAAATAAATATTTGTAACAATGCTATCGCTTTTTACGAAAACTGAATAAGGTTATTATCAAATTCAGTAACAAATTACTGTTTTTCTGCAATAAAAAAACAACACACACGTTTAAATACATATTCTTAGTTATTCAATACTCCTTTATAAATCATTTTTCTATTGCTTAATATTATTTACTTATTTACAAAATTATAAAATATATTTTACGTACATAACTGCATATGTGTAATTATTAAATGTATTAACATTGAAAACATTCGCTAAAAAATTACATTTACATTTGTTTCAATCTTCGCAACGATCATTTCTGCCTTAAAGAAGATACATATAACCGGACATGTTTAAGGAGTATACATACAGTTGTCAATAATAAAAGCAGAATTTATATTTAAGAATTTTGCATTTATAAAATCAGTTTCAAAATGACGGAAAAATCGAATCTTCTTAGGTGAACGCACAAGTTTACCGTGTGCGTAAGTCTTGAGCTGCACAACACCGTGAAGAAATTCGTGTTCATTGACTATAAAGCAATTAGTAGAACTTTAACTGATAGTTTCGTAAATTGCATGTAACTTATGTCGGTAAAGATGCAATGCAAATTTGCATCACTTGGCGATATTGTGTACAATTCCTGCTTGATAACCCTGCATACGTAATGGAAATATCAGTAAAGGTCAAAATGGTCGCGACGTTTACTGCATCCGTTCTAGATTACATAAAAGCGTTAATTTAATATACATATTTTAAAGAATTGCACCAAGAAACATATACGTGTGTGATCAGCTTAGGTTATTCTGCCGCTAGCGGTTCCTAGCGGTTGTTACCAAATTTTTTGTCAACCCTTTTTTCCCCAGAGTTGTCAAAGTCAGCTTCAGTTTTTTACAGATAAATACAATTTATTTACTCCCATCTTTTGGGGGATACTCAGACGAATTCAACAAGTACCATATCAAATATTTGTTTCTGAATCTAAAAAGTACGAAGAAAACTCTTAGTTGGGAAAGTTTTGCAGGATTTTTAAAGATTATTAAAGACGAATAGTAAGCCACACTGTTGTACGCTTTCTAGAGCTGTTGTTCATACTGCCTATAAACATTTCGTTTTGTACCTTAGGACACATTTAATGATGTCAAACTTGAACTGTTAGTGTTTCGCGATCTGCGTGTATTGAAGGTGACCTTGATAAATTAAATTCTAAATCACTATTAATAATATTAAGTATTATTAATTATTAACTAAATCACTATTAATAATATTAAGTATTATTAATTATTAACTAAATAACTAATAATACGGGTGATTAACTAATATTGATATCGATAATATTAATTACTACTAATTACTAATATTATTAATTGTAACACTAATGTTTAATTAATCCACGAACATTTCACAACAATTTTTCTTCTCGACAACTCCAAAAATGAAAGTTGGACCACTATTATTCTGAATCACTGATATATGTACAATGTATATAGAAGTTGATTAAATGGAATAATGTTGATGAGTTTTTATAAAATACGCATAAATGTAACGTAATTACTGATTGTACAAACTGTAATGTATAAATGCAAATTTATTGTATAATTATCAGAATCAAGGAAATGGTTTTATTGCAAATTATTAAATAAGTTTGTTTATTCATATATATGAAAATTAAGAAAACAGGTTTGTACGATAATTATTATATAAAATCCGAACGGAGGCGTTACATAAATATCCTATTTTACGATTATCTTAAGAAAACTCATTTATGTGTTAATTATAATGTACCTTATAAATCTTTCACATTTTTGTTGTTACGTTTATTTAAAATAAATCGCTGAAGTGAAACAACTTAAACATAAAGCGTTCTTCCTAGTAGACAAGAATTAAAATAATAATTTTATTAAATTAGTTTACAAAAAATAAGATATTCTTGTGTTTGAAAAATATATTACTTCAGTAAATTATAGTGAAAATGACACTTTTAAAATTTTAAAGAAATTATAAAACAATTGTTCCCATTCGTTGATAGGCTTTGTATTCAGGAATGTCTCTTTTGTTCGCTGTAGAACCCGAATGTTCTTACTGTTCAGTAAAATTTCTACTATATTGTAATTTACATTCGAAAATAGGAAGAATGATGAAGATTCGAATCCTTGTATTCTGTCTTATGAACTTTTGCGCATAGCCAGTTTACAAATCTACGTTTACAATCCCGGACAACGAACCTGTTAACACATTGATTACGGTACTCGAGTCTATTGCGGTTTTGCGCTCAACGCCCACTTGTTCTCATTTTTGCTTCATTGTTATTCATATTTACATGAAACTTGTATTTGGTTTCTTGCAATCAAATATTTGCTCATAATCAGACAAACACATTTGCTAAACAATAAATTCTAAAATGTTTCTTGCCTTTTACGAAGTTGAGGCGTATAATATTGAAATACTTAAATCAATAAATCCTTGTTAACAAATTCTTTTTATTTTATATTTTTTATGATACATAATATTCTTGCTCATTTGTAGTTATACAATAACAACTAAAATAAAATACATAAAGGTGCAAGAGAAAAAATCGAAAAAACTGCATACTGAACCGCAATATTAATTTTATAAAATACAGATACAATAAAAACAATTATTATAATTTTATAAATTTGAAAGGTACTTACAAATTAATGTTACTAAACGAATATTTGAATGCAAATGTAGAGCATTAAAACTTTTCTCATCTCAATCTCAATTTAATTATATCGTAAAATTCTGCATTGTACATACTTTTTAATTATTTTTATTATTTAATTATTATAAGTTATAATACAATGTAGCTTTTATAATGTATAGTATAATTATAAATACAAAATTTGATATACCATGAAACTCATTTCTATGTGAAATGCTAAAAAACGTATTTACAAAAAAGAAACCTTTGGTATCATCACCAGAAATATATATTATCACCAAATAGCTATTCACGATTACCACAACAATATATGTACATGTAAATGCACAAAATTTCAAGATATATAATATTTACATTTTTGTAAAATGAAATAAGACCGATTGCCAATTTTGCTTGGTACGCACAACGTTTTACGACAGTTTTACTTAAACCTGGCTCAGTAGTGTACCTGTTAAAGAAACTCTACCGTTTGGTAAGTGCTGTTCAATTAACATAGTGTAAACTAAACATTTATTTCTCGATTTCTCGTCTTGCTTAGTAACCACCTACCTTTTCGCATTAAATACTTTCCAGTTACTTATGATTCATACGTACTTAAAAATCATTGCAAACATTTAATTTTAAGGAATATTTTGGAATTACGTAGCAGTAAATAATATTATTTAAAATTGCTACGTATTAAAACTGTATAACACAAGAGATTTCACCATTAGACCGTGGATTTTTATGCAAATCGACATTTTCAATAATAAAATTAGAATCATATAAAATTTCAAGAAAACAGTTTCCCCTAACAAATGTCATAAAACTCATTACACTTTATTTTACACATATTTTCCGCGTGCATTCCATGCAACTTTCGAATTTCCCATGATCGCATAAAAATCCGCAATCTACATCATCATCCACCTACGGCATACTAACACAAACCAAAAGCTTCCCACGTTACAAAAATCGAACCTAACATCCTCGCCCCGAGTAGATCCAATATTCCAATCCATATCAAAGAAGCTCTCCTATCCCGTAAGATCGATCTTCCGATAAAACCCTTTTACCACGATCGTGCCCCACTCCCGTCTCTAACAACCGGAGCAGTCACCAAACACCTCCCTTGACTCCACCGTAAAAAAAAAGAAGAACGAAAAGCTGGGTACATCCAGGAGTGTCACTTCACTAGCCCGGAGGGAGAGTTCGCGGATCTTTACCAGGAATACACGAAGAAGGACCACGAGGAAAAAGGCAGAACCAGACACCGTGGCGAGCTCGTCTCGTTTTAGAACGTAAGAGGTCGGCGAAGACCAACGTCCCCCCACTTGGCGCACGGTTTCCCCTCCAGTTTGAGGAACAGGTTCACGTGGTAGGGGGCCGAGTACATCGTCCTCTTCGGTGTTATCGTGAATGGTGGAACTGGGATGGGATATCGGGAACGGAGGGGAACAGGCATAGATGGGTGGCGGGGTTCCCGATAGCGCAGGCCTGCCCCGTCTAATTACTCGTATTTACCCGCAGAAGGAGAAGAGGCACGGAGCTACGTAAAACCACGAAGAGTCCAGGATAGTAGACACGAGGAAGGTCGTCCGAGAGGAACGAGCGAAAGATGGTCTGCCCGGAAAGGCCGGTCACGGCGCTCGCCATCTCCCTCGTCTACCTTCTGGCACTCTTCGGTGAGTTGACTCGTTAGGGCCCTCCGTTGGCCCGCCTGCTTTCCGTTCCTGGGCCCCGAGAACCCTGACTAGCCGCTGCTGGTCACTCGTCCCCGCTACCTTTCGGACTCGAGTTTTGAAACGAGGTGATTGTGTTTAGCGGCAGAAGGGGGAGGGGGTCCGGCTACGGGAGTTCGCTCGAATTAACCCACTTCCTGGCAGATTTTGCTTTCACGACTTTTCCTTTGGCAAAGCGATGTTTCAATGCAGCGATTTCCAAACTGAGCGGACTAGTGCAAAAGGGGGCACGAATAGTTATTATTCCGACAATTAGGTTTCTTTTATTTTTTGTGGTAATACATTTTTTACCGTTTATAAATGTGTTTATATTATTTTATGAGATGAGGGGGGAGGCACCAAGATTAGATTCTTTTTAACGGCAACGTAGGAATATAAAGTTTGGAAACCACTGTTTTAACGCTTAACCGGCTGATTGGATAAAAGTACCATTTGGAAAACTTACGTGAACGACCGGGTGGGTATTGATGCCTCTTTAGACTTTGTTATAGATTGAAGTCATTTTTGAGTTATTTAATCGTAACGATTATCGTTTTGTTTAGAAATTTATGTATTGGACAGTCGTAGCTATCGTGAAACGATGATAAATGTTGTCGAAAGGCGTTGATAGATACAATAGGTATAGTAGAATTCGTAGTTCATCTACTCTTCCTGGAGACTTAGAAAATATTGCTAGCCATCGACTAAAAATTCTTTCACTTAACTACCAGCCGATTAAGTGTTAACACGTCGATCATTTGATTGCCACTCATCAAATTAATCGTAAAATCATAACCATCTTTCTGACGAAACGAAGACGGAAAAGTCAAGGTTATTCGTAACGAAAAATTTTCTTAATCCTTTGCACTCCAGATGTTAATTGTTGCTACTTGAATTGACACAGCAAAACTATAAAGTTCAACACTTAATATTAAGCTATATGTAACGCATAAATATGAAAAATATTAAAATAAATACCTTTGTTCCTTAATTAAGGTGTGTTTTGTAAAATGTCGTCTATATTTCATCAGGAAATGTTTTTTGTGAAAAATTTTTGAGTGTAAAGGATTAAAACGAAGTCATCCTTAGGTTGGGAGGGGTGGGGGTAGCTACGGAAATTCGCTTGAATTAATCCATTTCCTGGCACGATTTTGTTGTTATATTTTTCTTTTGGCAAAGTAGTATTTTAATGTAAAGATATTAACGTTTTATGACATTTAAACAAAAATTAATAAAATATATACTTTCTAGTTATTGTTTATTTACTTGAATAAGCTCTAATTGCGGATGATGGTAGATGCAATGTAATATGTACAATATAATACTAAGATTACATTAATCTACTATATCCAATGTAATACTAAAATTACACTAATTTAGGGATTACACTGAATAGAAATCAGGAAAGGAAATGGGTTTATACAAAGGCGGTACACATGTGTCATCTGAAACCTCGAATGGGCAAATTTTTTATCTGAACAGGGTGAAGCAGAATTGAGGAAAATGTGATCTGATTATATATTATAATGATTTAAATGTAATGTGATAGAGCTCTGTTTATGTGAACTTATTGAAAGAGAATTATTCACATAAATTGCTTATATAAGAGTTTATTGATTTTCTTCACTATTTGTGACTTTTCGTGTAAATAATCGTAGTTCGCATCATAGCGACTTTAAGTATTATGAGTCTGGAAATGACTTGTAGGAGTACTTTAATAGTAAGATTAAACATATTTTTAATTACTTATAGTATAACATATAAAATGTATATAATTCGAATGACGCTCCACACTAATTCAAATAATAGGAAATCAGCTACAGTTTATTTAATCACATGCTTATGAAAATTTCATTTAGATAAATGAAGCTCTGCTACTACGGTATAGTTGATTACTACCTATTATTAAAAATCGTTAACTGATTAATAATTGCAGGTGGTAAAATCGAATCGAGTTATATTTTTATCATTAGTCTTAATATGTAATCGGATTATATTTTACCCAACTCTGATTTAGAAGATCTGATTTCGATATGTTATTGGATTATTCATTAAATTTTTTAACGAGACACAGTGAATGGAAGTCTTGTTCAATCCTCGTGTACTAATACAAGGGTTTACTTTATTTGGAAATGACTATTAATTTTTAATTATGAGTTTCATTAAGTCGATATCCATTTTAATTGAACTTGATTTGCAGGATGTTAAACCTTACATACTACTAAAAGCAATCTAACTTAAAGTGGATATGTAAATTTTCCTTAATTATTATTGGTCATAGAAATTTTTTATAAAACTTGATGTGATTATTATATACTTTGAGTCGTGATTATAAATTATTACATACCGTTAATTGCCTATAAATTTTAGTGTAGTTCCGGTGAAAGATAATCAGAGATTATCAAAGATAGATAATCAAAGATATCATAAATTAAACTATTACGTGAACAATACATGAGGGTTAATATTTGAATAACACACGAATATTAAGTGACTGTTGAATTTATTTGAGTAATGAACGACAAATAAAAACAGTGTTTTAGAATTTATATAGTTATCTGTAATTACATATGCAAACATAACAGTATGCAATTGGTTTCTTATCTTATTCTTGGAATTCAACATTTTTCATTTATGTTGATAATGGATTTGCCCAAGTACTATTTCATGCGTTTGATAAAGCTTTAAAATGATCGATTGTTCTCTTTTTACTGAATAAAAACACCGTATAATTTGGAATCAACTTTAAACGTAGTGGACTCAGGATATGAAGAAAAGAGGTTCGATTGGTAAAAGAAAAGGGATGCCTTAACATATCGCTGAAAATTAATTTTTATAAAACCATTTATTACGAAAAGAGGTATATGAATTTTCTTGTCATATTTTACAATATCTTAGTAACTATTTTTTATCTATCATTTCAAGTATTAGTATCAAATAACTCTTGCTTTAGTTTAAGCAACCCTTTTCTTTTCCTAATTTTATTTAAAAAACATTAATTGATTAGAATTTTAATTAACTAAATTAATGACACATTTAAACAAAAATTTTAATATCTTCAATAAGGATTGAAAATTATTTTGAATTATAATTTCACTTTTGTTACAGATTCCTACTGTCAAATGGCACCAGGTAAATCTTTCAGTTTTATGAAATTGTGGATAGGTAATTGTTTTCTTGCAAAACCTAGTCTGGTCTATAAAGAACAGACTGGAATGTTCCACACAATTCTGGATCTATAAAATGTGAATGAACCGAAGCCAGTTTGACGAGATAACTGATCCTAGACAACCTGCGGGAACTAGGTATTTATAATTAAATATCACTACATTCAGTGGTTGGTATTTACCTCCAGTAGAAAAAAGGGAACTACATTGCTTTTCATATTAATTAGGAAACGGTAGAGCAAGCAATTACTCACATATTAAATAAGATAATTATAGTTTTAAAAAATGTGAAATGGATTTCGTCATGGTACCATAGAAAATTATATCAAATTTACAAACCTAAATTATTCCATTGTATTCTGTTAGACTTGTAAATATAAAAATTAACGGATTTTTAACAACAACATTTTTATTAACTGTATATTATTCTTAAAAATCCATTTATTTTTACATTTAAACCAATTCTAACAAAGAAATTATTGACGTTTTATTTTATCCGTAGGTTGACGTTTATGTTCTTTGGATCATAAAAATATTTTGAAATTCCTGTTGCCACTGATTACAATTTTTTTTTAAGTATTCAAATGTTCTTTCACACGCCTTTATGTTCCACGTAATTAATAAAACCAAACAAATTTGTAAATTCAATAACAAAATATTAATACAGGTAGCCAGATATAGATTATAAAAATTCACATACTTCGAAATTAAAGATTACTAAAAATCACTAAAACAAATATGAAAATTGTCAGTAAATAATTCAGATTATAATTGTATATCAGCTGAATGAAATAAAACAACGTTCGTACGCAGTGAGACCATACAACTTATCCATTAATCAACGCCATAGCATACTTCCCGTTGTTAATGTGAAATGCATATTTTTCAGTTGAAAAATGCACTGGTATTTTGTACTTATCATCCGTCTAATTACAAGGGAGGAGGTACCGTTTCCGCATCTCCTTCGTGTAACAGGGACTTCATGAATTAACGGTGTCTGTCGTTGGATTGCCTGGGTGTGCGTAAACACGTGCGTACATACACGCAAAACGATGCCGACACGCATGCATCTCATAGTCGCTTTTAGAAGAGCTATCCAGACTGTAGTCTCTGTGTGCGAGTGTGTGTACACGGTCGTGTACAGTGTGCTCCAAAAATATGAGTCTCCAATCATTTGAAGTACATTTGAGAAGTTATGAAGAAATAATTGTATCAGTAATTTAATCAAATTTTACATTGGACCGAACCTAGGAAGCGCATATACAATGCGTTCCAGAAATACGTGTCTCGAATAATTTGAAATATTTTTGAGAAGTTATGAGGAAATAATCGTATCAGTACATTAAATCAAGTTTATATTAGTCTGCACCTGGAAAATTTATATGCAGTGTGCACCAAAAATACGAGTTTCAGATCATTTGAAGTACACTTGACAAGTTATGAAGAAATAATTGTACCAATATTTTCATCAAATTTTACATCGGACTAAACGTAAGATGCTTATATACAGTGTACTCCAAAAATACGAGTCTCAAATATTTTGATGTATATTTGAGAAATGATGAAGGAGTAAATTTGGATGAAATGAACAGAAATTTATTGTAAATGATTTACAGTAACTCAAATTGTTATTTTGGGTCTGAAATTCCCATAATCTAAACTTCTTAAAGCAGCAGAATTTCTATTTTACTTGTAATTCCTAATTTAATCAAACCTATGTCGAATATTTACATTTCTTATAATTTAATTCATGCTAAATTGCAAATTCATATTGTATTCAATATTTCTACTCTAAAATGGAACTGATTGTAGTACATATCCATTTTTTGTAACATATTCGGTACTTAAATTTTTATTTGATCTTAACTTAACTTTATTTAGAAATCTCAATTTTTAGCTAACTCTTTCCCTTTTCTCTTTCACTGTTATCTTTAAGTCACCCTGTACATGCAACCGTGTGAACGCATGATACATCACAAGCATACGCACGTATGTCTGCTGACATAAGCATTCAGTCTAGTCCGCAATTTCAACCTGGACTTTTATTTTATCCTTAGCAGGCATTCGTTTTCTTGCGCCAGTTTCACGATTTAGAAAGAAAAGTCAAGGTAAAGCGTGAACATGTGTTAATTTCGCAACATAGAAAGCTGTTTTGCTCCGCTGGCTACAAGTAAATTTACAGTTTGGTCTTAATGTAAACAAGAAGAGTAAAGTCACCAGTTTAATCAAACACGGGACGTAACACCAAATAAATAGTTTTTTGTGTAATAATAAGATAAAAAGTTTTGAATTCGAAGCTGTACATACAGTTCCAAATATGGTCAATATTTACGCCAAAAAGATCGATATGAAATTACTTTATAAGTAAATAAATATAATAAATATAATAAAAAAAATAAAAAACCAATAAGCTATTATAGAAGTAATTTCAGTTAACGAAATTTATTTATTATAGATGTATCTAAATATATTCAGAATAAGTCATTCAAAGTATGAAAACTCCAATATATTCTTCTTAACAAGTAGATTTATAACAATTCAAATACTTTTATTATTATGGTTTGACATAAAAAAAGTAATGCTAATAGTCATTAAAAAAGAAAACCAACAAC